TGGGTATGTGTGCGTCTTGGTTTTCCTCTTGTCCACACTCCTTAAATAATTCAAGATTTCAGTTCCATTTGATAGCAAAACTGCAGTGAGCTGTGCAATCTTCTTCGAATTTTCTTCCTAATTACAAATACATTACAGGATAACTGCTTATATATGGTCACTAATACCATACTGAATTATTACCTTATACTGCAAGCAAAAGTAGGAGGTAGCAGCTTGAAGAATTATGCCGGTTGGTTTTAAACCAGAAAGATAAAGCACACAATTTGCGTGGACTACTTATTTTTTTTTTGTGAAGAGTGCTACGCTCACATAACTTCAGTTCTGAAACAAGTATCTTCCAGCATTTGCTTAAGTCAAACTGTCATCATTTTCTGTTACTGAAAGGTTCCTGCTAACTCCATCCTTGGGCTGCGCCTAACAATTATCAAATCTGCAGGAGCTTGCTGATCCATCTGAAAACCAATTTTGGGAAGAAAACCCCAACCCCAAAGCAACCAATGACATAGGGAAAAAACCTACCACAACAACCCACAACCCCCAGACTGGTTCATGGATTCAGCTAGAAACTGTCTGCAACCACAAGCTAGAACCAATACAATCAAGAGCTTGGGGGAAAGATTGCTTGAGGCATGATCTTAATTTAGCCTAAATCAATCATGACATAGAGGATATTATAAGCCTAACAGCAGACCCAGTTCTCATTCAAAGTGCTCCTGCCAGAGCAGTACAAATGAACTTCAAAGTGGATGCAAATAGACCAGGTATGTTTAAAACACACTCTTGGCATGGATCCTCAATTGGAGTAAACTGCCATTGACTTCAAAGGAACTAGATCTACCCTGTGGACATAATATTTGGAGACTCTTACTTTAGGCAATGAAAAAAAAGAAAGGCTCCTAACCAGTTTAAAACATACAGTGGTTAATTCCTTTCCTTCAAAACATCACAGACTATGTGTGGGATGCTGAAATTACTTTGGGGATTACATATACTTACTGGATTTCTTGAGAATCATTAAAATAACTATGAAAAACAGAAGATACAAATATAGAGAAAAGTGAATATAACAATAGACTGTTGTGAACTTTGATTTTTTTTTGCAAAATAATCAAGTTTGTATTTATTATTTGTCGCCACTGATAAATTCTTCAACGTCTTTCAAGAGATACTCACTTCAAAGATATTTCTGCTGAGAGAAAATGTGTTCATTCTTCTGCTCTTATACAAAACTAGAGACACATTGCTGTATACTGTTCTTTTACACATAAAATTGTCTGTAAGTAAAAATCTGAGTAAAGAGATCATGAAGTCACAAGCTTTCACACCATCTATCTCAACACTATCACTTAGCACTTACCTGTTTTTCCATCTCAATTGCTGCACTTCAGTGCTTATAAGATCAACTTTGAGTTTGCTTTATAATGTCTTGTTTTTCTACTGAGTCACTTGTGTTTGTTCCATTGAGTTCACCTTAAGAGGAAGTTTTCCTTTCTCACATACTGGTTTCCCTCAAAAAGTACTATATGCACAGGAGGAAAGAGCTGGATTAGCACAGAAGGCCACTTATCCAAGGAAACTGAGATGAGGAATCCCAGAACACTTTGCACTACCATTTTCCCCAGAGGCAAATCCCTCCATGGACTGGTTAGTACAGCACAAGGAGGTCAGCTGGAAAAGTGGACGAGGAAAAAAAAAAACTCCCAATATAGTTCCTGACTCCTTAATCTCTCATCCATGAAGTACCATGGGGTACTTTGTGTCATCACAGTATCTTCTAGTAGTGGATACATACAAGAGTCACATTATGAACAATCATGAACACCTACATGCACGGAGAACTGGAATTTGATTATTTATGAAGTTGCATTAAAAGAAGATAAGGAATCCTCACAGGTTTCCTTCTTCACAGAGATATTACAAGCTTTTATTGGAAAGAGACAGACTTCTATTAAGCTAATCCATTTTATGAAAAGGTTTGGAAAATCCTCTTAGAGAATAGCGTAAGACTAAACTTAAAGTTTTGAGAATTAGATGAACCTGGGCTTTGATCTTGCCTGAAAACCAGACCAGTGAACTCTTACAAGCTGGTGTTATCATCATGCAAATTTAATTAGAAGATTCACACCTCTAATGAAACAAATTAACAGTAAGACTATTAAGCAAGAAGGTAGTTAGAAATAGCACTACCACTTTGTTTTTATTTTGTAGGAGAAGAAAGTTTCAACAAAAGATGCATTTTGCCTAAGCACGCTAGTTAGTTCCTGGCTTTCTAATTACATACTTCAAATTTAGTTTCTACATATCAAATCAGATTTCAATAGTAGACATGAACCTTGCTGTTCAAGGTGCAGTAACTCTGCACACCTACAAATATAAAACCCAAATGATGTTCAAACCCCAACAATATTCACATCTAAAAGTACAAGTACATAAAATGAGAGGCAAATTATGAGTACAAATCTGGGATCAGAATTTTGACTGTTAGTTCTAGGTTATGTGCTCAGGTACGATTTGTTTAGACTTGGTGTTATTTACCAGGCATTTCTGTGTTCTCATTAAGCCTCTGCCATACCAGAGGCTAGGTATGGCAGATGAGGACCAGTACACAAAACCTTCAGTTCAGTTTTTACATTTGCAAAATGAAGATGTCATCTCTCTAGGGTTAAAAGACATTGTAAAATGCTTTCAAGAGTACAGACTTTTTCTACTCTCACCTTCATCATGAAGGACTCTCAAGTTACACTGAGACATTATTAAGCCTATATCGATTTCTTTCAACATGCTCCTGAAAACTATAAAATAAGAGCACATTACCTTGCTTTCACAACTGAAATATTTTTCAGATCAACACCTTCTCTTACCCAATCTTCAGTATACTGAGGAATTGGAAAAAGGATTACTGATGCTACTCAGCCTATACTTGAAAATAAGTGAAGCTGCTATTTTATGGTGCCTTAGGATTTTGCCTTCTTCCATGAGAAACAGTAATCATGAACTCTTCCATGCTATCCCACTTCTCCATACACAGTGAGATAACAGGAATGTGGGAATGAAAAGGCCAACTGAAAGTCAGCTCTTCTGTCTCAGTGTTGAGGCCCTTTTAGCAAAGAATATATTTCAGTAAAGTATCTACCTCACATACTAACTTTCCAAATTCCATTCCCTTGGAGTCTACTGGGAACATAAGAATAGAGCTGGGAGAGGGATTTTATGGAATGGTCCTGACAGATGGAATAAACCAGACATTCCCAGACCAGCCAGAGCATGCAACAGACAGAAAACGCTTTCAAGGAGAGCTTTGAGAAATGCCATGTAAAAAGTACCCCATGTCCAGAAACTCAGACATGAAAAGGTAAAAGACTTTCTCCCAGTTATCAATGGAGTTTTAGAGTTTCAAAGCCATAAATCAAATCTTTGTGCACACTTACACAAAAGAGCCCAGGCCAATTGCAGGAACAAAAGAGTAACAGCTTATTACCATTTCTTTTATAAGTTTCACATCAGGTACAACTGATCTTCACAGCAGCAGCTGTCAGACTTTCATTTAGTTCATTAAAATATCTTGTTTGGTCAGTTCTACCACTATAATTTATTTTAAACATAGTGAAACCTTAACTAAAGAGGCAACCTGGCATTAAGCAGCCACTTAAAAGCCTTTCCAGATTACCACTCCACTCTTTGTGGTGAGGGTTTGGGCACAGTAAAGTTCTGAGCCAGATTCCACTTTCCCTTCGTTTCTCAGATCACTTTAATGCAAACTCCAAATACAGGCAACACCACCACAGACATGTTACCGGCAGCAAAACCAGCCAAAACATGTCCTCTAGTTTGAGGTGGTCTTTTCAGCTAAGGTTGGGAAATGGCCCAAAATTGTGATCACTGTTCTGGTTTTTAAACCCCACTTCAAAGTAAAAAAAGCTGATTTTCCTCTCTCACTGCTTAAGGCGAATTTAACTGGATACATATATGGCGTAAGTGCCAAACCCATTTAGAGTTGGAGGAACTTGCAAAACATACAGGGGCAGATTCTGTTGTTCTTACTCACTTTAAACAGCTCCAGCTAAACTAATGGGACTTCTCAACACAATTAAGAAAAGTTAGATCCAATCCAAAAAGAATATGCACATTTCATAGTTGAAAAACAACTCTGCAAGGAGTACAGTGGTAATCTGGGGAGGCTTTCAAGTGGCCATTTAATGGACAGTTATAGACATGAAAAAGCAGCAAGACAATCTTATTTCAGGATCGCTTTTAAACAGTGATTTTCTGAACTTCATTATCTATCCAAAATGTTTGTTAGTTGGGGGAGAAACTTCAAGTCAAGATGTTCTGGGGAATCAAACTGGAAGTATTAACCTCATGGAACACAGCACAGTCTAATATCAGGTTAACATAAAACATTCAATTACAAAACACAGGTAGCATTCAACAGCTACGTTTTTCACAGGCAGGAACTTCAGCAAGATGGAGTGCAAGGTTCTTCCAGAGAAGATTTATGTCACTTCATCCCTTATAGCCGTACGCATATATATTTGTAAAGAAACTAAGAACTCCAGATTAACGATCTTCTTAAAACATCCGGTAAAAACACCATGTGAATCGGGAGCCCGACGGCGAAGGAGGAAAGGTTTTGTTGGTTATTTTTTTCCTCCACAAGAAACAATGCAGTAACTCCAAATCCACCCCGCGGGAGGAGCGGGGCAGGTGCCTCAGGGCACTGCCCGGGACTCGCTGCCCGCCCCAGCGCCACGGGGACGGACCCTGCCAGCGCCCCAGAGGGGCTCCGCGCCCCGCCCGGACGCCCCTTGCCCGGCAGGCTCTCCTCCCTCCCCACCCTCTCTTCCTCCATCACTTCCTCTCCCCCTTTCCTCGCCAGTCCCTTTCCCCCTCACCTCAGACCCTTTTCCTAACCCCCGGTACGTCTCCAGCCCGCCCCGCCTCGACCTCTCGCTTCTCCTCCCCCCTCGCCGCTCCCCCCCCACCTCCGCAGCTCTCACCCTCCCGGGCTTTCAGCAGCACCGTGTTGGCCACGATGTTCTCGATTTCCATGGTCGGGGGCTCCTTCTCCTCAGGGCAGCCGGAGTGGAGGCCGCCCCTACTGCCTCCTTCGCCCCCTCCTCCAGCCCCGCCACCGCCGCGACGCCAAGCCTCCGCTCATCCGGCCCCGCAGGACCTCAGCGCTGCGCTCGCCTCTTCCCCATCACCCGCTGCTCGCCCCGGCACCGGCCTCCCCCTCCCCGAGGGCGGAGGCAAGGAGCAGGCAGCAACCGCCCGCCCCGACCATGGCTCTACCGCCCTCCTCCGCCTGCCTTAGCCAGCTCCGCCTCTGCGCTGCTGGGCCACCTCCCCATCCCAATCCTCTAGAACTACAGCTCCCATTGGGCCTTGCGCGGCACCACAACGGTGCCCCCGGCGCACGCCGCGCTCTGCTTGCTGGGATATGTAGTGCATTAAACGCTTCCAGGCTTCCCCTCCCGGCACGTCCCAAAGCGGGAGGGGAGAAGAGCACCAACTTGCGCGATGGTTGGGTGAATCAATCTCGCGAGAGGTGTGGTGCTGCCGGGGCACGCCGGGGTACGGGGAGTGCTGCCCGCCCTTCGTTCCCTCCCCTCCGCCGGCTCTGACGGGGCTTTAGGGGAGCTCTTGTACGACTCAGCCCCGTGTCAGAGGGAAGTAGTCTGGTCCGAGGGGTATTTGGTGGGGTTTTGCCCACCCCTGGCGCCATTTTGTTGTCCCCGTTTGCACCTCCGGCCCTGTCCCCGCACGCTGAGTACCGAGTCTCTCCTTCCCCACACGCGTCCGCCGGCAGCCAGGCCCAAAATGGGGAAGGCATCTAAGCGGAAGCGAAAGGTTTCAGCGCCTTCCACAGCCAAGGGCCCTGTGAAGTCAGCTATGGCTATGGTCAAGAGTAACCCCTTCGAGGTGAAAGTCAATAGGCAGAAGTTTAACATCTTGGGGAGGAAGACCAAGAATGATGTGGGACTGCCTGGTGTCTCACGGTCCAAGGCCATCAAGAAGGTAAGAGGGCATCAGAAGTTGGAAAGAAGTATGGTATCTGTGGGTGTATCTGTGCTGGGGAGGTTACAAGCCTGGAGCTATCTCGGGTCATATGAGAGGCTGCTTCTGTTGTGCACATTGAGCAGACGGTGTTGGAGAGCCAGTTGAAAATGTCTCTCTCCAGTGTGATTCACAAGGTTCAGTAGTGGAAGTCTCCCTTATGGCATGTGTGGGAATGTTTCTGTTTTCAAGTTACCCAGACCACAATGGCACATGTATGCAGGAAGATACCAGACCAGAGTGCAGGTGGTTGTCAGTGTTCATAATGTTGGTCAGTTTTGGTCACTTCAGGATGTTAAAATTCTTACAGTGGTATAGTGTTGCTGTAATAGTGAAAGTTTGAAAGGGCACTAAGGTCTGAACACAGTGAGAGATGTGTAGATACAGAGAAACTACTATTGATTTGGGAAGCATGCAGTTGACTTTTTGTGCACTGGTTAAATAATGTTGTAGAGCTATGTTGCAATGCAAAATAATGATCTGTGCTCTTTGTTCTCATTAGAATGATCATACAACTTAAGGGAGTAAATCTGTCTTCCATCTATACCCTATTACAATTGCCTCTTTATCTGCTTGACATCACTAGCTACCTGGCCCAATCTGTAATGCATAAGGGAGCACATTATGTCATACTACATATCTGGGATTCCGGCAGCCTACCTTGTCCTTGAGTGAAGCACTGGAATTTTTTATGATCTCTCCCTTGAGACAAACCAGAAAGAAGTTAAAGCCTCTGTCAATTTTATTAAGGCTGAAAAAAGCATGATTTGAAAGTGTGCCCCTGAGGTTCTCTCTGACATGTTACGTGCAAACTGTTGAACAGAATTTAAAGCACCTACTAAAAGGAGAAGCTCATTTTTCAAAGTAGTGTAGCAAAAGGGAATTGGGTTTATCATTTTTGCATGCATTAAATATTTTATCAGTGATAAACAAAAAAATGCTTTCCTGTATCCCAGGTATTAAGAGGTATTAAAGCTCAGGCACAGTGTTTAAGCTGCATGATAATTGGTCTGTTCTGTGGAAGAAGTAAATGCCAGGTAGAACTGACACAGTGGTAGCTGAAACCCGAGTCCTGGTGTCACTTACAGCAGCATGTGAAAGTTGTGAATGCTCAGTGAGGCTGCAGAGATCTGTTTTAGGAAACTTAGCCTTTTCCTTTAGTGGAGCAGTTTCTGAGTTCGTGCTAATATGAATAGCAACAGTACCTCTCTGTAAAGTTCAGTTAATGTGTTTTAAATAAACATGGAGGGTTGTTTTTTTTCCAGGCTAAACACAGCCAGCATTTTCTTCCTTTAGAAACTATGTATTATCTTCAGCATGAAGTTATAAATTAGCTTTCAGTCTTCATTACTGTTTGTTCAGATTTTAGAAAATTTCATGGATGTTCAATATCATGTTTTAAGGTCTTGGGGCTTTAATAGAAATAAAGCAGATGCTTGCCATGAGTTAAATCACTGGCATTGCAAAGTAAACCTGTTTCCTTACCTGCACCATAAGTACAGCACATAATACCTCATATAGGTTTGCTAAACTTCCTTTTACCACTTTCCTGGTGCTCAACACTAAAGCAGACAGCTAAATGTAGGTACCTACTTGGGGTTTTATACATCTTAGCTGACAAGACTGAAGGAGATTCAGCTGATACTGGGGCTTGTTTGCTTTCTTTACTGTTATTCTTGGACACTGAGCTTCAGACAAATTAGAATTCCTCAGTGGCAATGCAGAGGTTTTATATGTGATAAAATAAAGGTGAGATAGTGTACCATATTTTATCTTCATATGGTCAGTTTAGAAGACAGCTTAATGACTCTGAATATATTATATGAGCTTCCCATCTCTTCTCATTTTTTTTTCTTCTCTTTCATTGCATTCTGATAAATTAGATTCTTGCCAGGGTAACGTGGAGCCTTTTTTGGGTCTTAGCTTTGAAAGTAGGTATTCTTTCTGTCTTTTAACTTGATCTCCTTTTTTTTTAATCTTCCTTCTTTCATTTTTTTTCCTTCTAGCGCACCCAAACATTACTGAAAGAATATAAAGAAAGGGAAAAGACAAATGTGTTTAAAGATAAACGTTTTGGTGAATATAACACCAAAATAAGTCCAGAGGAAAAGATGATCAGACGGTTCACTTTGGAAAGACAGGTAAAATATAGGAATTAAAAAGGAATAACAAACCAAAGCCGCAATAAACACTTGGCTTTTGAGGTTGGGTCCCCCTTAACAGGGTGGGCTGTGGGGTGATCCTTTCTTATTATTTTATATGTCTGAAACTTTTATGAAAAGCAGGTTTTTGTGGGAATCAAATTTTTCATGAAAACTTTTGGGTTTTACAAAACAGCTTCTTGAAGCAGAAACTTCTGATAGGCAAGAAAGCCAGTTTTAAGCAGATTCATTGATTGCCTGGATTTCTTTGACTGCTTTGATTACTATGATTTGAGAATTGAATTAGGAAAACACAACCACCGTCAGGTACACACTGGGATTCTATTACAGCTGTTGAACAGCAGCCTTTTCATTTGCTGACTAGGATTCCTGCTATCATTCTGTAATGTGAATTTTATGTGCAGTAGTGTTCTTTCTGCCTCATCATACTTAATCTCTTGAATTGAGCAGTGCAATATCTTATTCTACTGATAATTTATATAGACTAAAGTTTCTTATACTGATGTACAAGTAGAGTGAGATATCGTACTCCTTCTCTTCATGTATTTAAAATGAAAGCGTTGGTCTGGTAGTGTTCCAGCAAAATACGGGAATATGAATCTCTTCAACTAGCATTAAAAATACAGGCTTTCTTGTTTTGTTGCCTGGGAACTAAAAATCTTTTGTTATTTAATTGGGTTTTTTTACTATTCTTAGCAAAATTATGGAAAGAAGAGTATCTATAATCTTAATGAGGATGAGGAACTGACTCATTACGGCCAGTCTTTGGCAGAAATTGAAAAACTAAATGATATTGTTGATAGTGACAGTGACACAGAAGAAAGAGGAGCACTGTCAGGTAAGATATGTCAGCTAATACCCACCTGCTGGTTTTATTGTTGATATCTGTACATGATTTGTTCAGCACTATCTTTCAGTGAGAAAGAATATTACGTAATTGCTTGGGATGTATAAGACAGGTTTGATTTCTTCTTAATCACACACAGAACAGCTCTCTGGATTTTAGCAGATGGTAAGTTGTAACTCCTTACCTGGCAAGGTTCTTCCATTTGTGAGCTTTTCAGCATACATAAGTACTTGTATTTCAAGCCCTTTAGCCAAAATATGGTGTGTAAGTTCTCTGATTGCTATCTTGTTCCTCTGTACCTAAATGCTAGTAAAAATATTGAGGAAAAACCCCCATATGCCTGTCTCATACAAAATGTTTGTCACTGTAAATTATGTGTCTACCATCAAACTCTTTTGGTATGACCATTCCCATCGGGATGGAAGTAGTACATCATTGATGCAGTAGTTTTAATTGCTCCCATTCTCAAAGAATAGGGAGATACTGTCCCAGCAGCACTCCAGCACTCATGTATGGATTTGAAAGGATTCACAATCTCCTATGTTGTTGTTTTTTTTCTCAGCTGAATTAACTGCTGCTCACTTTGGAGGGGGTGGAGGCCTCCTTCGTAAAAAAGCACCAAGTGGGCAGCAAGATGAAGAGGAGGAGAAACCTAAATCTAGGAAGGAACTCATCGAAGAGATGATAGCCAAGTCTAAACAAGAAAAGGTGAGTTTTTAGCCCTGATGTATAAATGAACAGGATTAAGAAACTGTCACAATTTGGTTTTGCATAGAAGACAAGGAGATAGATGTCTAGGAGAAGAGTCCAAGCTCCTTGAATAAGTCATTCTGACTTTGTAGGTATTTTAAGATATGCACTGAATATCTGCCATTCTTTTGTATCCCCAGATCTCCCCTTCTTTGCTGTAGACAACCGTTGTGCCATACGGCGTAACACTGTACTGCATCTTTTGCAATGAATATGTACACCTTTAAAATAAATGTTAAATATTTAAAATTTTTCATTTGCTAAAGGTGGCGTTTTGGCTTTACACTGCAGATACCATGTCATGTCCATCTGAACATAACTGGTGCATTTGGTTTGGCTTTTTATTTTCTTTTCCCTAGCAAGAGAGGCAAACTCGGAGAGAAAGTGCATTAGAACTCACAGAAAAGCTTGACAAAGACTGGAAGGAAATACAAACCCTTATTGCCCACAAAACTCCAAAGTCAGAGAGAAAGGACA